GCCTGCAGGATGGACGCATCACCAGGAAACCGCGCCTACCCCATTGCCAGCAATGGGGAAAAAGCTCTGATACGTCACGTGACATCACATGACGTTGCGAGTTTGATATGTTTGGTCTAGAGGTTAAGGAATAAGGCTAGAAACAGAAAGAGTGTGAATTCTATTTCCACCTTAGACATGAAAGCCAATTGGGCCAATTATTCTGTCTCAGCCAACTCACCAATTATTTTTTTGCATTTGAATTAATAGGAGGAAGAAGAAACTTTAGGAAAGAAGAAGCATTAGGAGGAAGAAGGAGCACTGCTGCTTTGAGTTATTTATAAAAATAATAAAGGCAGAATGGATGGGTGGGTGGATGAATGAATGAATGAGTGCCAGTTTGATGTTGTGGTTAAAAGGCAGGCTAGAAATTGGGAGACCATGAATTCTAGTCTTGTCTCAGGCATATATCTAGCTCGGTAAGGCATAAGAAGGAGGCAATGGTAAAACATTTCCAAGTTTTTCCAAGAAAGCTGCAGGACTTGTTCTGGTAGTTACAGGAGTCAACAAGGATTCAAAGGCAAAACAAAAGCAAAGCTACTCACATTTAAGTGAGGTTCTTTATTTTCAAAATTCCTTTTAGTTAAACTTTTCGTTTTGTTCTTACCTCTAGGAAATTATTTTAATTCTTTTATGCTAATCTTTATGCCTGTAATTATATTTGCTTTGTGTTGATTAATGGCAACAATTCATCTGATTTGAGTTTGGAAGGCAGTTTTATTTAATACAATAAAGATGTTTTGTTTTTTGTTTTTATAGTACTATTGATAATCTTTTCCCTCTAAAACATACATTTTAGTGATGTATTTTTTTTTAAAAAATCTCTAAATTTTTCCTTCAGAAATGGCAAACCATGAAACTGTTTTCTGTTTATCTATTTTATTTCTGTTGTTATTGTTGTATTTTTTGACGTTCTAAAAAGTGGCAATCAATGGACCCAGAAATATATTTCAGGAAACAACCAACCAAGAAGAAAAGAATGAAGACAGGACTTCAAGTGAGGGATTAAGTTTTTAATGTGATCTGCAGGGGCATGTAGAAAAAAAAAGGAAGAAGGGAATAAAACACTAATAACTAAAGAAACATTTCATGTTCAGTAAAATGTTGTACATTATTCAGAATTCAACATTTTGGCTGGCGAATTCTTGAATTAAATATCAAGTTGAATATTATGCTTTGATTCAGTTTTCTTCCATTATTTTCTTATAGTTTGCCAAGTCCTCTTTATGTATAGGTGAAATCTCTTAGCAGAGAGTTCTATTCATTTAGGGTATGAACTGATATTATGAAATAATCATAATAACCAGAGTTTAACAAAGAATACCACATGAACTACACATAGTATTCCACCTATTCCACATGGTCAAGTGTCTTTGCATAGAATCAAATGCAATATGTAGAGAAAATCATTTGGTTTTGTATTCCTTTTGGGTTTGAATGTGTCTTTCTCAATCTCAGGTCTTCTGCAAGAGGTCTGGGAACACACAGTTTGTTAGTTGTTCTTAGCACTGTACTCTTGTGGACAGAAAGCTCTGATGTTCTTCTTGTTATCACCACTGGGACAATGTTGGCTTTTACTTTCTATATCATTTCAGGTTCCTTCTTCAGGTCTGCTACTTCTCCAGTTTCTCATATTCCTTCTTCTCCTGATACTGCTATCACTTGGCACCACTACATCTCTTACCATAGTTGTCTTCTGCTTCTTGTCTATCATCATGATATCTGGTTGATTGGTTAGTACCTGCCTGTCTGTCTGAATTTGGAAGTCCCACGGGTTCTTAGCACTTCTATTCTCCAAGATTTTTTGAAGAATCTCCCATCTGGACTTGAGAGGATCTATTGCATACATTGTACAAAGGTTCCTGTACACAATGCCAGCTACTTGGTTGTATCATTCAATATATGCTGTTCCTGCCTGCATCTTACATCCTGCTACTATGTGTTGGACTCTCTCTGTTCTGCCTGTACCGTAGGTCCTGTCTAGAGTGGTAAACCCCTGCTTCTTTGGATCTTGTGCTTAGTGCCTGATAGGATTTCTCACTGTCTGCCTATTCAACTATCTGTACATATCGTGTACATCTGTACATCTCATTCTTCTGTTTGATCATCTTCCCATGTCTGCTGCTGCTATCTCAGGCATTCTCTTAGCAGCACATCTTTGGATGCCAACTTACTGATGTGCCCTTGAATATTCTGGGCTTCATCTTGGACAGTAACTTTGACATTCAGTAGACCCCAGCTGTCCCCCCTCCTTTTTCTTTTTTGCTGGTGTACAATTTCTGGGTGTTGAACATCAGGTAGAAACCTCCATATATTGTGAAGAAATTCTGGGTCAATCCATTAGCAGTCTCTATGCCTTCCTTTGTTTAGCTAACAATACCATAAAGATATATGTTTTGATGGCATGGATCTTATTATTCCCTTGAGCTGAGTTTTCAGGGCCTGTCTGTCAGCCCTCCTGGGTAACTGGGTAGAAACAACACCAGATGAGCTAAATCTATTTCACTATATTAACAGAATCTTGTAAGTCTGAGGTACAACTTCCTGCCCTCAACTTTTTACTACTAGATCCATTAGGGAGGTCCTTTTCTAGTTTCTTTGTTTGACTGTAAATTGACCACAGATTCATACCTTTCTTAGCTGGTAGGCAGCACCTCCTTTCTCTTTTCCTCAAGTTTATCCATGCATTTCATTCCATTGTCTTATCCTTTGGTGGTAGTTGGTTCTTGCTGTCTTTCTTGTCTCCTTATTATGGTTCCTATCTTTCTGTGGGATACCAAGGTACTGTAGCTGGTCTGTATGCCTGCTATGTGGTTTGCTGGTAGTTCCACTGCATCAGTCTTAACTACTTTCCCTCTCTTTACTACCATCAAGCTACACTTCTCGAATCATCTGGTAGTGGTACTATCTATTCCACATTGTTTTATCTGACCAAAGTAGGCTGTGATCCAGCTATATCCACAGTATTTTGCTTGTCTAATAATTTAATCACTTTATTAAAGTAATCATTAAGGTTTATCTGGCATGTTCTGTTTCTAACAAACCCATGCTGGCTTCTAGTGATTGCTATGTTCATTTTTAGGCACTCAGAAATATGCTGCTTGATTATCCTTTCTAGGATTTTCCCAAGTATTGATGTGAACCTAACTGATCTATAGTTTCCTGGATCCATTTTTTCTTCCCTTTTTGAAGATTATAATCACATCAACTCTCTTCCAGTTCCAGATAAGTCTTAGGAGCTAGGGCTAGGAATTCCAATTTTCAATCAGGTTTGAGATATCAACTCCCTCAACTCCCTTAACTCCTTTTTTGTGTGCAGTGGGTCAAGAGAGTTTTTATTACTTAAGAATATTTCACAGCTCAGTCAAGATAACACTTTCCTATGGTTCAGATGGAAGAGCATAGATTGATTCACAATGTTTCCACTTGTCCTCAACCTCCTGAAGATGGCAGGAGTGGGGATAATTACATGAAAATTCAAAAATCTTTCCTTCTATCCAGATACATTCTTCCTTGCATATGCTTGACCAGAAGTGCAAAGCTGGAAGTGATATCATTTCAGATCCAAGGTGGCGCAGCAGTTAGAGTGCAGTACTGTAGGCCACTTTAGCTGACTGTGTTCAGCAGGTCAGCGGTTCAAATCTCACCGGCTCAAGGTTGACTCAGCCATCCATCCTTCCGAGGTAGGTAAAATGAGGACCCAGATTGTTGGGGGCAATGTAAATATATATATATATATACATTGCTTACTGGTGTACACCGCTTACAGAGTGCTTGCATTTAAAGCGGTATATAAGTCTCATAAATAAATAAATAAAATTTCAAAATAAATAACAGCTATGAGACTAACTAAGACTTTACAACTTATTAACTATAGCACATGATTGTCCAGCACTTAATTTCTAATTAGCTGACTATTTGAAACATGAGAGAAAAATGGAAAGAATATAATACTATAGTCATAAACCAAATATAATCAACATCACCACCACCATCATATAATGAATAGGAATTAATAATGTTTTGATAGCTTTTTGTAATATAGTATTCTTCATGTGATTTAGGATTGCCAGAACTCATTAAATCACCCTCCCCAAAAAGTGATTGAAAATTAAGCTGGATAGAAATTCTGGACATTTCAACTCCAATACATATACAGAGTCAGATTGTGGAAGGTGCACATTAGGGTATACTTTATTACATTAAGAACAATTATCTTTACTTCCATAGTAAAATGCTATATGTATATAAATAAAATTCAACATAAAACAAGCTACATTAGAGCCCCACACTTTAGGAAGTACAGTACATGATTTCACAGTTCATATATATCTTCTTGAATTCAAACTGTTAAGTCATACTAAGCTAACACCAAACAAATCACAGTACATGAATTAAGTGAAAGAAAGTAATGAAAGAGAATCATCAAGCTATTTAATTAATGATGTAATGGTAGTAAAAGAAAAGTACAGAAAATGAATCAAAATAAAACATAACTACTTAATTAATTATTTGGAATGGAATAGGGCAACATTTTTTAGTCAGGTAATTTTTAACAATTTGCAAGACAGCACAGTGTATAATAAATGAAACATAATTTCTAATTCCAGATTTCTATTTCTAAAATAGAAAAGGTCTGGGATTTTGCAGATTATTGGAAGAATAGATCTGAAAGACTAGACACATACACACACACAAATTTCAAAGTACTATTTTCTTGTTGCATTGAGAATATCTAAATTGTTCAATAAATGCTTGTTTTCTAAAAATAAAATTATATTACTTTTTTTGCATGTGCAGGGCCTGCATTTCTACATCAAACTTTACAAAGGTCTAAATGTAGAGAGAGAACTTTCCTCAGCTGGCATTTAAACTATGATTTCATTAAATACAACCCTCTATTTAATAGAAATATCAATACAGTGAAATTTCAATTTAAGCATTCAAATTAATATAATTACCTTGCCAACAGGCACCCACAGTGAGTTGCATTGCTATGTGTGAGGGATGAATAGGCCAGTCATTAGTTACAAGATATGGTTCATATGTTGTACCATCCATATACAAAGTAGCTACTGGGAACTCAATGTTGACAACATAGTAGTGCCATTCTTTATCACAAATCTAAAGAATAGAAGAAGAGGAAAGAAAATATTACCTAGCTTCATGAACAAAGTTTGGGAGATGATCAATCAAAACAAATGAATTTTGCTCTACTTTAAACTGGAGAGGACTTTCATGGTCCTGTTACACTTTTATGTATATAGCATACAATATTTATTTCAGAATTCCTTTTTGCATAAAAAGTGTAAATACATACACAATTTGATCAAATGCTGTATGATTTAGCCACATATGCATGTTTATTTTTTCCCCAAGTATATGCTGTTATAAAATATAGTGCAGCAATTGGAAGAAATAACTAAGTAGATTTGTTCCTAGGGATTTTATTAGGATTCACTTCCTATGCAGAACGAACACCAATAGGAAAGAATAAAGGCTCCATCTCTTTCTCCTCTTCTCAAATATTCATCCATAAATATTAGAACAGTTTTCTCAGAGGTAATAATATCTGTATTAAAGGGAAGGTATAATTTCAATCTACAAACTAGGGATAAATAACAGTACAATCACCATTTCTCTAATACAACATGAAAGCTCACTATAATTTTCTTCACAATTTGGCAACAGCTGGTTACCTAAAGAATCTATTCAGATGGATTTGTTTAGTTATAATTCATGATATCTATTTGTTTAAAATGCTATAAAATTGCAAGCAGAAGGATAATTAAAAACATAGCTGTCATCTGTAAATTAATAGCTATAATCTATTAATTATTACTGTAGCTATGACTCTACTTGATCAATTACATTTCTTTAAATTCTTTTGCTGTCAGGCTGTATTTAGATACTGGGTCCAGTTCTGGGCACTGCATTTTAGGAAGGACTTTATCACATTTGAGAATATCCAGAGGAAAACAACTAATATCATAAGAGCTTGGAAGGGAGAAATTACAAGGAGCTGGGTGTGTATAGAGACATAACTTTCTTCAAGCTGTCATGTAGAATGTGGGGTAGAATAACTTAGAGTTGTTTCAGCTGACAAGACAAGGTAGAAGGATTATAAAATGTCTAACATACAGATTTCAGTTGGACATCAGGAACAATTCTTAACAGCAAGATCTGCTCAGAAATAGAACAGACCGTCTCAGCTAGTGGTAGATTCTTCATTACTAAATTATTTAAACAGATGCCAGATTTGTCAGGGATAATATAGTTGTGGTTTCCTGCATCAGGTCGGAAATTGGACTCAAGGATCTCTGAAGCCCTTTGCAAACTATATATTCTATGATTTTTTTAAAAAAATAGCAGCTCATTTCACAAGATCATACAGTTTTCATCAAAGATCAGTCACCTTAGATAAAACAACTTTATGCAACATCTAGCTCAGGGGTTCTTTTTTGTTTTTTACTTATATTGTATGTTGCTAGAGTTGTGTGTAGTTGATTTTCTCCACTGAAATGGTTATCACAGAAGCATTTAAATGTATGACCATATTACGGTATTTTTATCACCATCACTCTATTCATTTGTTGACATTTTTGTTCTAGATTTTAGGCAATCTGATTTAGTATATAATAAACATGTAAAGGAAGACAATGAGTGAAGCCTGAAACATCTGCTATCCCTTGGTGACCTTCTTTGTTCCCACCCACACATGGTTTGAGGCAGACACTAAGTCTATAGGGCACTTCAATTCCAAAAATTTGATTCACACTCTTTTGAAGTAAATCATTACAGATAGTCCTGAGGTTAAGACAACAATTAGGACTGGAATTTCTGTCACTAAGTGATGCAATTGTAAAGAACAATGTCACGTTACCAGTTAGCATTCCTGGCTGCTGTCTTAACCAGATGCTTGGGTCATTGACCAAAGACCTCATGTGACAATGATATGAGAAGAAGTAGAGTTTCAGGTCAACAAGTGAGAGCTGTTGGTGAGAGCTATGGGCAGATACGTGCTATAGGCACATGTTATGGAGCAAAGGCAGGTATGTGGGTCATTACAGCATGTGCTATGGAGCATGGGCAGGTGTGCAGAAACCAATGGCAAGAACAATGGTGCATGGATGGTTGCTGAATGAGTTGTCATAACCCAAGAACTATTTGTAAACTGAACAAGTGTTTCCTGCTAAAGTATCAAGTTGGAACAGCAATTTGGATCTCTCTGATCCAAATACTGAAAAGGGACTCTGACCACTGAATTAAAGAGTCTGCCCAAATTAAATCAGCCTGCATTAACATTATAATTCAAGGCACAGGGAAGTAGAAGTAAATATGAGCACTAGAATAATTTATGTTGAGGCAATGCCAGTGGCAATGCCAAAACATGTATAAAAGCCTAAAATGGACTATTTGTAAGCTGTCTCACATGTTTCAGAAATTGGGCAATCATTATTTTAGAAAGTCTGCCTTGACACTAAGGTTATTAGCACCAACATTGAAGTATAAGCAAATAGAAGTCACTCTTTTTTCTACAATATCAATATCTACACCCTCTTCATGCTACGCTTCAATTTCCAAAATTATACCATTAGTTTCAGACATCTGAATGTCATTAAGGAAATCACCTTGTGTATTTATTATCTCAAAGACTTTTCATGAAAAATCTCAGGCAGATTGATAGTTTTACCCTACCTGCAAACAATTATTGCTTGTCTCTGGCAAATTAAGAAAGCTTTGAATCATTACACTGATGATGTTACTTAGTTGGGCAATGAAACATCTGTAAGTAAATAACAAAGCTAAGAGAGCACTAAGCAATACAGTTCAACCTTGAACTACATATATGTTCTTCTATTAAAATTCTGGATAGTTGAAAGGACTAAGACTGGAGCACAGAAACAATTATTATTCATGATAGTAGACAGAGAAATATTTTGTCTTGCTCTCTCACTCACACATCAATGCATATACAGAAAGAGAACTAAGTGCAATGGTTGATGTGTTGGCAGTGGTGGGATTCAAATATGTGAACAACCGTTTCTTTGTGTGGATGCCACTTCCAGAAGTCCATTCTGGCCTTGGGCAACAAAAAATTAGCTACCGGTTCTGCAAAGTGGTGCGAACTGGCTGAATCCCACCACTGTGTGTTGGGCTACAAACAGGAAAGTGTGGGTTTCAGTTTTCTCTAAGGCAGAGGTCTTCAAACTTGGCCCTTTTGTGAGTTGTGGACTTCAACTCCCACATTCCTCGGCCAGTGATGCTGGCTGAGGAATTCTGGGAATTGAAGTCCACAAGTCATAAAAGGGCCAAGTTTGAAGACTCCTGCTCTAAGGCATGGAAGCTAGCTGGGTGACTTTGAGGCAGTCACTTTTTTTTTCAGCCCAACCAAGTTAACAGGTGATTTCTGTGGGAAAATAAGAGGAGGGACCATTATAGACATTGTCATTAGTTGTACAAAATATATAAATCAGATGTACGCATATATACATACAGATACACACACATACTCACACACACCAACTGGCAGGTCTGTTTTAGAGAGTTTAATGCTGGTATGGAAAGAACAATCAGTGGGTGAGGTTAGTTAGATTTGCCATTTGTTCTTACCTATTCTTTTACAATGATTGTATTCTATTTTCATTTTATTGGTATTATTGTACATTGTCCAGAGTCAGCTGGAGCCTGGACAGTAAATATTAGAGTAATCTCTATAAAATTAAATTAAACTGCTTTATCGGAACAAGGTTTTGGAAGGATGTAGTTAGGCTGCTGAATTATTGAAGAATGAAGGTTCACTAATGGGGTGAGAATGTGTGAATGGTATACATAGAACTAAAAGATGAGAGCAGCATTGAAGAAGCATTGAGAATGAAAGAAAGGAATTCCTGATAGGAATCAAAGATTTGAGATGAGATTGGCAGTGAATCTGACTGTCAGTGAAGGAATAAAAGCTAGCATTTGGCAGGCCAATGGTACTAGTAGTGAAGAGAGTGAAGAGGCAAAGGTTGCTCTGTCACCTTCATTGCTATAACTAATGCTACTTTTGTTGCTGCCACTGTAACTGGATTGGGTGACTGTGGAAGGCCAGAACAAGTAGAAGTAGCATTGGTTATTCACTCTGTTCACTCAAGGCCAGCAGAGAATGGTGCATACTAATGCTAAATTGTCATTTCTGAAATGCCGTGGATGCTATGGAAACTGGAGACAAGCGACTAGAATCAAGCTATTTGTCTCTAGCTCAACTGACATACATTATCATAAGCTGGATCTGTTTTTTATCTTGGAGCAATGGTAATGAAATATATTGTCATCTGCCCTTTGCCATGTTAGCTTACTTCCTAGATTACATTTGCTTTGTCAATATCCTGGACCTCTGCAAAGGTGACAGTGTGATTAAAATAATCTGCCCCAGTCACCTAATGGATCTTGTTGATTTTCAGTGAGCACTTGAGATTTATTTCAGTGATCTGGCAAGCAATTTCTTCCTGTGCTTTGTGGAACTCAGGAGATTGAATGGCCTTGCTTTGTGTGCTGATTTCTGATGATACTAATTAATATAGGAAAGGACACTTTTCATTCATTATTCCCCTTTTTCAAAATTTATGCAGTTAATATTTTAGCTCAAAAAGTACATCAAAAGTGAGTAAATGTGAACAGTCTCAAAAATGTAACTAGGCTATATGAATGTTCATGTAGTGTTTTTTTTAAAGAAAAATCACAAATTGATACAGAAAGGGAATTGATAGTAACTGACAGATTAATTCATCTACTGGAACAAGGATGCTGATCCTTTATTCCCCTCTTTGTATGTTTCCTACAGGTTTAATGAGAATGCACTGAGATGCTGTTATTTTTCACATATTTCCCTTCTTTATTTACTGGAAAATTTGCTAGTCATGGGTCCTGAAAAACTCCTGTGATGCTGCTGTAGCCTTGTGAAGTTTTAATCTTCTGACAGGCAAGTTCAACATCAAGGATTTAAATAATTAGAGGTTACATGGGGAAAAATAAAGGTATAGATGCAGAATATACCATACAGTATCTAGGAAAGGAAATGACTTGCTTTGTTGGCAGGACAAGTTGATAGGGTGCTGAAAAGAGGTAGCATTCAGGGGCAG